CTGTGCTGGACCAAGTGGTGTTAGAACTCACTGCCACAGTCCCAGTCCCAGCACTTAGAAGAGAATTTGCCAGCACATCCCAGCAGACAGGGAATGGATTCTGGAGTTAAGCTGACTTTGTACCCCAGATCCATCTCTTCCTGCCTGTGAGGCTACAGTCAGTTTCCCCATGTAAAATAGGCTTAATAACAATAATTCCTATCTGGCAGGAATTATCTGGTAGGGCTGGACCAAAAAATTGATGAGGTGCAGGGGAGAGGGGATTGAAGAACACAGCTTAGAGTTCTTACTTAGCATACACAAAGCTCTGGGTTCAATCCTTGGCACCACATAAACCTGTAATTCCCGCACTTGGGAGGTGGAGGGGAATCAGATGTTCAAGGTCATCTTTAGCTATATAGGAAGTTTGAGGTCAGCCTGGGTTACATGAAACCTGTCTCAAAAGTAAAAAGCCAGCAGATGATTTCCAGTTTGGTGCCCAGCACAGAGGGAGTGGTTAATAAATAGCAAGACCGGTGGGAAGAAAGTGGAGTGAGGTGGGCCCTGGCCCAGGACCTCCATCCCTTGTGGGCAGCCCCTAGGCTTTGGCCCCTTGTGGCCTGCTGCTTCTGATGCGGAGAATGGATGTGTTAGAGTGTAGAGGTGAGTGAGGCTCAGGCCCTGTGCCCCTCCTAGAAGCACATGCTGCGCATCCTGCAGTTTTATGTCATAACCACTAGGTGTCGCCACACAGCAAAAAAACCAAAGTTTTCAGACCCAAGTCACAGCCTCTAGAATTCCTAAGTTCTTTGTCAGCTCCAGCAACCAAGATGCCCTAAGGGACAATTGCCGAATTTTCCTCTCACCTTTCTTCCTGGCACAGGACCCAGCCACACAAGATCTGTCCCAGAGCCTAGCCTGCAAGGCCACCCCATCTTTGACTTTACCCGCCTTTGTGGTGAAGTGTCTTCCCTCCACTCAGCCTGTGCAGATTGCAAGATATGCTTTGTCAGGTATTTCAGTTTACCAGTGACCTTGATCTTGTGAGTCAGGTGTGTTCATCATTGCCCGGCAGATTCAGAAACAGGCTCTGAGGTGGGCGTGGTCTGGAGTCCCTCTGAGGATGCAGGTTTTGATCTTTGATTCCAGAGGTCCAGCTTTCCTTCACTCCATCACATGATTATGCCAGAGATTCCCCATGAACTGTGGACTTCTTAGGGGTGGAGGGACACAGCTCATGGAATTCCTGTCTGTAACCATTGGGCCCAGCACCTTGCCTGGCAGACAGTGCTCAGTAAGGCACCTCTCAAACTGGGCAGTGGCTCAGATGGTAAAGCACTTTTCTCATAAGCATGAGGATCTGATTTGGGATCCCCAAAACTCATGTATAAAACTGGGTGTCACCAGGCGTGGTGGCACATGCCTTTAATCCCAGAACTTGGGAGGCAGAGACAGGTGGATCTTTGTGAATTTGAGGCCAGCCTGGTCTACATAGCAAGTTCCAGGTCAGCTGGGGCTACAGGGAGACTGTCTCAAAGTGTCTTCCCTCCACTCAGCCTGTGCAGATTGCAAGATATGCTTTGTCAGGTATTTCAGTTTACCAGTGACCTTGATCTTGTGAGTCAGGTGTGTTCATCATTGCCCGGCAGATTCAGAAACAGGCTCTGAGGTGGGCGTGGTCTGGAGTCCCTCTGAGGATGCAGGTTTTGATCTTTGATTCCAGAGGTCCAGCTTTCCTTCACTCCATCACATGATTATGCCAGAGATTCCCCATGAACTGTGGACTTCTTAGGGGTGGAGGGACACAGCTCATGGAATTCCTGTCTGTAACCATTGGGCCCAGCACCTTGCCTGGCAGACAGTGCTCAGTAAGGCACCTCTCAAACTGGGCAGTGGCTCAGATGGTAAAGCACTTTTCTCATAAGCATGAGGATCTGATTTGGGATCCCCAAAACTCATGTATAAAACTGGGTGTCACCAGGCGTGGTGGCACATGCCTTTAATCCCAGAACTTGGGAGGCAGAGACAGGTGGATCTTTGTGAATTTGAGGCCAGCCTGGTCTACATAGCAAGTTCCAGGTCAGCTGGGGCTACAGGGAGACTGTCTCAAAAGACCAAATAAAACAACAACAACAACAACAAAAAACTGGGTGTGGAGACAGGGACCTGAAATCCTAGACATGGTAAGATGGGAGGCAGAGACAGGAAGATTTCTGACAGCTCAGAGCCTAGCTAGCCTGACTTATTGTTACCAAATTCCAGGCAGATGAGAGATTCAGTCTCAAACAAAAACTGGAAGGTACCTTTGATGGTAAGCATTCACTGTCACCTTGACAGGAATTACCTGGGAGACAAGCCTGTGTTAACTGATGAGAAGATTCATCTCAATTGTGGGTGGGACCCCTCCTTGGGAAGCTGTCCTTAGCCCCTGGCCTCTGAGCAGAGTCACTACTCTGAGAGTGGGAACCCAGTGGGCCTCAATTTGCCCCACAGCCCTCCTAGGTCTTGGTCACTTCTGAATCCAGGGTTTCTCTCTTGGGGTCTAGCATGGTCAGGAGCCCCCTTGCTGGCAAGGCTAATGTGACATGCATACTTCCTGCCAGGGCAGGCCTTTTCCCTCTGTGTTTGCTTTTTTCACAGCTCACTGTCCTTAAAGCTCACATGCTAGTAAGAGCAGATGGTAAAACTTCCAGAAAATCTACAAGCTGGCTGTTAACCCCTGCCATTGTTAAAAAAAATACATTATTTACTTGAGAGGCAGAGGCAGGTAGAGCTCTGTGAGATCGAGGTCAGCCTGGGCTACAATGGCAAATTCCAGGCCAGCTGAAGCTGCAGGGAGACGCTGTCTCAAAAAGACAACACAAATCAACCAAAACAAACAAACAAACAAACCCTTAAAGTTACAATATAATCATTTATTTAAAAACAAAGATAATAAAGATAATATGCTTTTTTTGTTTTTTTTTTTGTTGTTGTTTTTGTCTTTTTGAGACAGGGTCTCCTTGTAGCCCCAACTGTCCTGGAACTCACTATGTAGACCAAGCTGGCCTCATACTCACAGATAATATGCACTTTAAACTCATAGTTTCCTAAATATGTCAGTATATTTACTTAGTGTTTATGCCTTTTAGGTTGCTTATGTCTTGGATCTGTGGATAGAAATACCTGTAGTATTGGACTAGGGCTGAGGGTGTAACCAAATTGGAAGAGTACATGTCTAATGCACACAAAGCCCTGGGTTCAATACACAGGACTACAAAAACAAGGAGTTGTGGTGGACACCTATAATCCTGGCATTCTGAAGGTAGAGACAGGAGGACCTTTTGGCTCCTGTCCCAGTCCAAGGACATCTTTGGCTACATAGCAAGTTTGAGGCCAGCCTGTGCTACGTGAGACTCTGACCTTAAAACAATAATAATTTTTAAAAAGTACTGAGCTACCTTCATAAGTTCCCATTTGGTGATATTGCATTGATAGTTTGAAAGCATCCACAATGGGAGAATTGACATCCTCGGAATTGGCAGCCATAAATCAGAACCTTTCCCCCCACCCCCAGAGATCCAACTGTCACACTGTTTACAAGGCTGAAAACCAACCTGAGGAATACAAGTGGTTAGGGAAGTCCTGTAGAGCTGGCTGGGGCTGCATTTGGACCACAGCTGGTAGGCAAATGCCAATGATGACCGCTTCCCTTTATCAGATACACATTGTACCAGCAGTCGAGAGACTAATACAGTCCACATACTTGAAGATGGCAAAGTGGGGGTGTGGAGAGGAAAAGTGCCTCATCAAAGCCTACAGGTCAGATCTGAGCCGCGATTTTAATCACTGCTGTGGTATTGGCCGTATACCAAGAGCCCCAAACTCACGGGGGAGTCCAGGGATAGTACGCGGTAATGTGTGTGAAAGGCTTAGTGCAGATTTGGCTGGAGCAGAACATAGTAAACATTAATTTACCAAGTGGCATAAGAATGGGATCAGGATCCACCCACATTGAAATCTCAACTGGGTTGTTTTCTGATTTTGCCATCTTTGGCCAGTCAAACCTCTTTGCTTATGTAAGCCTCTTGTTCCCGCTGCAGAAAGAGGGATAATAATAGCTACCTGGAAGAGCCGCTGGGAGGACGGAGATAAAGGATGTAACGTGTCTGGTGAGAAGTGGCTGCTTTATAAATGGGAGTGATTGTCCGGGATTATCTTTTATTTCATGTCACTCAGACAAGCAACTCTTCACAAGTCTTGTGCAGACGGCCGGGGATGCAGCTGGAGCCCTGGAGGCAGGGTCAGTTCAGTGCAATGCCTGGCCATCCCACCAGTTGGGCCCTGGCTCTAGAAGGGCTTCAGAAGCTTGGGACGCTGTTGCTAGGTGCAGGTTGCTAGGCAACGCTCTGTTTCTTCTGGCCTGGCCACCTTTACCTCAGGAGGGCCGGCTTCTCTTGAGCAGCTTGATCCTCCTGTGGTCTCTGCCAACCTCAGAGCCAGCTGCAGAGGGCAGGTGAGGGTGGGGCCCCCTCCTGGCCCCCATGAGAACACAGCCAATTTCCAGAGGGCAGTGGGCAGGGAGGAAGTTGAGTGAGAGACAGAGAGGTGGGGCTGGGTACCAACAGCAGAGAATTCCCCGGGTAGGAGGTCATCTAGTCATTTATTCCCTGAGAAGAGGAGTAGAGGATCAAGTCAGGGGACTAGGGGTCAGGTACCCAAGGTCTGAATCTCAGCTCTGTCAATTAAGAGCATCAGTTCAGTCCTTGACACCTCCAGTTCTTGGCTGTAAAGTGGGGATGATAAGAATGAATGAGGCGTTGGAAAGATGACAGACAAGCCAGCACGAGAGAGAGTGGGAGCTGAAGATGGGTTCTTCTTTCCATTTGGGGTATGGGTGTCTAGAGGACAGGGGCCTGTGAGAAGGATCCGGCTCAATGAAGGGTGGTTGTCACTGCCAGCGTCTCTAGAGCCTAGGATTCAGACTCATGAGCATCTCCTGGGTTCCTTCTTAGGCCCGTGGGGCCCTGCCCCACAGCACCATGATAGGAAAACTCCCTCTTGGGGTTGTCTCTCCTTATGTGAAGATGAGTTCCGGGGGCTGTTCGGACCCTCTGAAATTTTATGCTACCAGTTACTGCACAGCTTATGGTGAGGACTCCCTTGTGTGGGAACTACCTTCAGGACCCTGGGTGGGAAGGGAGGGGGCTCCCCAAAACAGAGGGGCAGCCCCTACCTCAGTCAGGCTACAGAGCAACCTGCCGCACAGAACTATCAGGTTGGCCCTGTCTGGTTGCCTCTTCCCTGGCTCTGTCACTGCAATCCTGTTACCTTGAATCTGCCACATGGATCTTGTGTTTCCATGCCATTGGCTCCATTTCCACCTGTCTCTGTCCTCTGGAGGGCTAGATGTATACAGCTCCTGTCACCCTGGCTGTTAGACTTCCCTTGGCTTACTGACCCCTGGGCCCTGGGGGATGCTGGCCCTGCCATGAAGCCACTCCTCCCCGTCCCCTGACCTGTGGTCTTGTCTCTCCCTTTCCCCTTGGCAGGTTGGGAGGGGTTCAAGCCTCACATGGGCAGCCATTCAGGCACAGGCTACAAATCTAACTACCGGCCCCTGGTTTCCTACCAACCTTACCTGGATACCCTGGACAACCTGGGCATGGGGTACGGTCTATAGTATCCCTTCCTTCCCACCTCCACCCTGCTGGATCCAAGCTTTCAGAGATGGCATTGATCCTGGCTCCAAGGTGGGGCCTGGGGTCTTTGGTGGCTCTGGGCCTACTGCCCAGCTTGGGGCCCTAAGGCCAGTGGACTCTTGAGTCATCTGGGAAAGGGCTGAGGGAGGTGGAAACTTCCAGGCATAAGTAATGGCCCTTCCCCCAAGGACAAAGGCAGGTGGCTCTGGTGGTCCTACCTCTTGTGTCCTCCTGCCCCTTAGGGAACAAATCCGGGACAGTTCCCAGTCTGTGACCAGTAACAGTTACTGCCCCCTAGAGGTGCCTGATGGCAAGTATCCCTTGCCCTGGAACCTGCACCAGACCACCTCTGGCTATGGGCAGGAGAAGCTCAATTCAGGACCACTCTCCAAAGAGGTCAGTGCAGGGCCCAGACTGGGACGGGGTGGAAGTGAGCCCCAGGCAAGGGCAGGAAGGCTGGACGGTGGGATCCTTCTAGCAAGCAGGAACAGCACTACCAACTGTTATTCAATGTTGCGATGACAGGGTGTGGAGGAGCCATAGTTTGGGGTGAGGGGCCACTCCCTTTATCCACTGTGCTCCATCTTTATCCCTGCCACCCCCTCCATCCCCTCCCTCATCCATTTATGTCCACAGTCCTGTCATTATCCCTACCTCTACTCAATCCTCAAGGTCACCAGCATCCCATTCATATGTTCAAGCTGTCCACTACCACCTTCACTGCCCCACAGTCATGTTATGATCACCCCCATCTTTGCTTCCATCATCATTAGTACCACCCGTCAGATCACCACCACGGCCAGGATGGACAGGTATCCATCCATCCAACCAATGTGCACTGAGCACTCTTTCGAATTTGGAGGGAGTGGGCTGGGGCTGGGTAGAGTGTTCGCCTAGCGGAGATAAAGCCCTAGGTTTGATCCCCAGCACCTCGTAAACCAGGCGTAGTGGTGCACACTTGGTGGCAATCACAGAGCTAGGCAGATGGAGGCAGCAAGTTTACAAGTTCAATGTTACCTTCAGCTACATATCAAGTTTGAGGCCAGCCTGGACCACATGAGACCCTGCATTAATAAATACATAAATAAAGTCAGAGGGGGTAAGAGCAGGGGAAAATACAACATAGGAGAAGGAGAGATGAAATAGAAAGGAGTCAGGAGAGCTTGCTGTGGAGACTCTGGGCAAGCCTCAAGCCACAGCTACCCAAAGGAAGAATGCTCCAGACAGTACCAGCTGTGAGTACAAAGGCCCCGAGGCAGGAGTGTCTGGAGTGAGAAGTCCAGCAAGTACCTGCAGCAGCGTGAGGATGCAAGATGCTTCGGGCTCTGAATACCCTAGGGATCACCCTGGCTTCATTGTTAAAGGGCCACTCAGGCTGCCATCAGTTTCTCTGTAGCAGTTGAGGGCAGAGTCAGGGTCAGAAAGTGACTACCATCCCATCATTTGCCAGGATGGTCATTGACATAGCCTCTTCCAGGTCAGGAAAGTCCACTTCGACACCCAGGATCATGGGCCCCAATCCATCACAGGGCTGGAAACCAAGGAGGTTCCCATGTTCTACCAGCAGCAGGGCAAGGCCTCTATGGACTGGGAGAATTCCCACTATGTAAGTGGCTGGCCAAGGCTAGGGTGGGCAGGGCTGAGGGGCTATAGTAGCCTCCTTCTCCTGTGGAGGTTGGGCCTGTGCTCACCCAGGGAGCTACTAGATGTGGGCTCAGCCCTAAGAAAAACTCCAGGGAGCAAGGCATTTGCGATTCGATAGTTTCCAAACTGCCTCAAAGTGGCCACCACGCCAATCACGCTTCTCTCTCTCTCACTCTGCCCACAAGTCCCACACCCAAGCATACATGCGTTTCCTCCCATCAGCCTTCACCCTCCATCATAACCCTATTGCTCTGTCTGGGTCCCTTAGGGTTGTTCCCAGAAACCCAGCATGGTATGTGACTTGGAATTGTCTTGGAGACATTTGGGACTCTGTGAGGTTAGGCTTATAGAAAGAAGTCTCATAGCCAGGTGTGGTGGCGCACGCCTTTAATCCTAGCACTTGGGAGGCAGAGGCAGGTGGATCTCTATGAGTTCAAGGCCAGCCTGGTCTACATAGTGAGTTCCAGGACAGCTGGGGCTACAGGGAGACCCTGTCTCAAA